TCCCTCGTTTCTTCTTGGTTTTGGTCTGACTTCGAGTTGTATAGGTCTTGCGTTGTAGCAATATATCGCTGTCCATAGCGTAAATATAGCGTGTCTTCCCATCTAGAATTTGAGCGAAAGTCTCGGAACTCGCGTTTTCGGCATTGATGTCGTCTGAAGACGGCTCATTGATCATTTGTTGGATTCTGTTCAGTTCCTTGAGCTCAGCATTGCAGTGTTGAGCACCACCTTCGACTCCAAAGCCACACCAGCGAGCGAGTCAGCCGCTGCGTTGTACTCACGCACTACGTGCAGATATCGGACTGACTTGAGCTTCGCAACGAGTTCTCGGTGGCGGTTCAGGAGTGTCATTAGCGATGTAATCAACGAATCCTTACGGCATGCGATCACCCCTAGTGGTTGCTGGATTGCCAAGCTCGAGTCTCCAACGATGACTAAGCCCTCAGCACCATGTTCCAGGGCTGCTATCACCCCATGGTTCATGCCACTGTACTCAGCCATATTCACCGTGGTTTGCTCGAGGTAGGAACTCGCAGCGATCGCTATCTGCCACTCTGGAAGCTTCCACACTATCCATGAGCAGCTACCGTAGCCGCCGTTCTTCTCCGTCTGAGCGGAACCATCAAATGAGACCACAAACCCTTCATAGTCATGGGGTAGGTGAGCGTAGAGCAGACTTGGGTCCAACCGAGTACTCGGTGAACCTTTCGTAGGCGGTGCCACAAGTGCTAGCGAGTCGTCCAGGTCCACGAAGTTAGTGATCGTTGACTGTAATAACTGAGTGAATACGCAGTCCTTCTCTCGAACTCGCTGCACCTCCAGTTGCCATGGTGACAGCAGCACCGCAAACTGCACTGCTCGACCGAAAAGCGACTTAGATTTGTGAATCCATCCAAGTGTAGAGAATCGGGTGTACCCATGCAGTGTCTTTCCCGCCAGCTGGGTGTAACACACCTTGAGCAACAGCAACAAAGCTAGGACTTCCTTCTCAGCCGAGTGATAATTCATCTCGGCGTCCTGGAGGACTCGTCCGCAAAAACGGACAGGATGTAGTTTGTCGTCGTCGTGCATCTGTATCAAGGTTGCACTTAACGCCCACTCGTTGGCGTACAGCATGATATGAACCTCCTTTTTCGCATCGAAATGTCGTAGGATAGGAGCGTCAGCTACTTTTCGTTGGAGCACAGTAAAACTCTCTTTTACCGCAGCCAAGTCACTCCCTTCGAAGAAATCGTCTTCCTTCAACTGATATTGCGCGGCTACATAGTAATAGTTGAGTGAGACGAGGAATTGTTGTATTCCTTTCTTCGACTTGGGGAACGGTAACTTGGTAATAGCTGTCATCTTCTTTGGGTCACCTCATATTCCTTCTGGCGACACCTCATGTAAGAGGAAATCAACCTTAGACTGACAAAAGGTGCTTTTGGTAAAGCTGACACTGATCCTGCAATCTTCAAATCGCACCAGCAACTTGCGTAGAGTGTCCAAGCAGTCGTCAAATGTAGTGTCACCGAAACAAATGTCATCTACAAAGGATCAACGCTGGAACACTGGGACTAGCAACGATCCGTCTGGTTCATTTGTCGCGAACATGTCTGCGTGTGGTTCGTTCACCATTCGTAACACCGGATCCAGTTCCGACGACGCCTGTCGATCCGCCTCAAACTTGGTCCGAGTCGTCGTCAGGGTGAAATCTGAGTCGTCGTCGAGTGATCTTTGGTGTTTGGCTGCTTCTTCCGCGAGTTTCATTCGCTCAGCATATCGCTCCCATCCACCTTTAGGCTGTACAAAGCCCCATAAAGCATTATCGATCATCCTTTGGTAGATCATTGGAGAATTCTTCAGTCCGAAAGCATTCGGAGCCACTCAAAATGCCCAAAGCGCAAACGAACGCAAAAGGCTTGCGCGCACGCATTGTCATCATGATCGCCCAAAATCCACTTGCTGCATCCAACGAACAGAACCACAGGTAATTCTCCAGCTCGATCAACAGGTCGTTGATCAGAGGCATGGTGTATTCCATGATTGCAGTAACTGCGTTGACCATCTTGTAATCGATGCATAGTCGAATATCTTGACCGTTCTTTTTTAGCACAATCACGATGGGCGACGCCCATGGACTGTCCGAAAACGCAATGAGGCCGGCCTTCAGCAGTCATTTGAGTAGCTCGTAGAGCTTCTGTAAATGCATCAGCAGAATTCGCCTCGCTCGTTGCTTAATTGGTGCGTGCTCTTGGACATCGAAGTCACATACCACCCCAGACGCTGGAGGTGGCAATGCATTACAGCTTGAAATCATGATTGCTTCATGCTTTTTCAGCACATCGCCGAGTCGTCGTTGCTGATCGCCGATGAAACCCGAATTCTTCACATTTGAAGCGGTATAACCAAGCTATGTGACAGAGGGCTCTGTCAAGTCAGGCAAGAATGTCAGTTCTTGAGCATAGTCCTCCAGCGAGATGTAGTTCGTTTCATGCACAGCATATTCATCGTCAGCTGTGTCGGCGTTGCCCTCTGTGGACGGTACGTGCATAACACACATGAACGTGTGCTCCAGATCAGCGACAGCCGCTTCAGGCGATTTCTCGTCGCTGTGAGTTTCAGTCGTTGGATTATTGCAACCACAGTAAATATCCAAAAACTCAGTTGAAGTAGGATTTCAAGCTCCTAATGCGCCAATCGGATCATCGCTCACTGTCGAGCCATCAGTCGCCCTGTCGACGCTCCGAGCCACATCCACTGTTCGTCCTTCGATAGTGAGTCGTCACCATCGCTTGAGTACTCGTCGAGTTTCTGCAATATGCTATTTGGCCATATGTAGGGCTATCGCTCAACTACGGGCGGCCGTGATGCCAGCCATCGTTCGCACAATTCACACTCTAGCTTGAACTAAGTTCCATCATGCGATGCAGCATAAGCCAACACCTGTCACTGCTCGTACTTCCGGGAGTCAATCGGCACATAGCCAGCTTGTTTTGGCATAAAGCCTCGAGGTACCCAGGTTATCACATCAAGATGTGCCGGACAGTACACCACCCTGTCCGTGATGTTCGTCAACCGGAATAGAGTCGGCCGCCCTTTCCTGAACCGAATGATCGTCGGAATCAGCGCAGCAGTGCACCACACCCAAACGGCGTGAGTCCTTAACGATGGTTTTCGTTTCTGCAGCCGGAACTCAATACACTCTCCTGCTGGTAACTGCAGGCTCTTCGTCGGTCCGCCGGTGACATACATCCCTTCCACTGAGTCTTCACCAG